ATCATTGCATTTTTGGAAAGGATGCTCTTAGGTTCTATGAATGATAACTACATATGTTCTCCTTCATGTACTCCAGTAAATCTTATTTTTAATATAAATTATATCAAACGGAATAGAAAAATTCTTGTGAATCAATAGCCAATTAGTGAGAGAATGGGTTCTAGGAAAAGAAACTATCTTTCTTAATCCTAACCTTGATTTTATCATAATCTGATGTTAAAAATCTGATATGCCTAAAACAAGAAAGGAGGGAAAGGAGTGCAAGGGAGTAAGAGGGAGAACTCCCAGACATACAAAGCAATCGGTGTCCTTTGGTCCCGAGCAGCCTCCTGCACACTCTCTATGGCAGCAGTCACTGACGTAGGGTCCATAGCACCTGCCATCACATTGTTCTGCACACACCGTCCTTGTCACTGCAAAAGAGAAAGATGGGGCCTCGATCAAAATCAGCCACCACAGAAACTCTTAAGGCATTTGGAACAACTGACAAAAACTAAGTCCTACAGTACCAATTTACTAACCCCATTGCTGACTCAATTCTGCAAACATTTAATGAATGAGGTCTGCTATTAGATCAAAATTATTGTACAAATTTTTCAAAATGAGCATATATGTATTGTTTTATAAATACAATGTCTTACAAAATCATTTGACTTATTAAGAAAGAATCAAATTTAAGGTAAGTAAATAAAGCATTTGGAAGATTGGGAAACACAGTCAGCAAGGAAGTGAATTCATACCATGCACAGTAAAGCTTTTTGGGAGAAGGTGTCATTGGAGATAGTTAAGATTTTAGCACTCAGTGAAAAAAGAAAAACAGTTCTTTGTTTGTTTGTTTGTTTTTTTGTTGGTTGTACTGGGACTCAGGACTTCATGCTTGCTAGGCAGACAGGCAGGCACTCTACCACTTTAGCCACTCTGCCAGGTCTTTTTTTGTGTTGGGTATTTTTGAGATAGTGTATCACAAACCATTGGGCTGGCTTTGAACAATGAACCTCTTGATCTCTGCCTCCTGAGTAGCTATGATTACAGATGTGAGCCACTGGCACCTGGCCCACAATTTTACCTGATTCACACTATATTGTACAGAGGAAAGACAGAGAGAGAGAGAGAGAGAGAGGAGAAGAGGAAAGAGAAGAAGAAGAAGAAAGAGGAGGAGGAGGAGGAAGGCAGGAATGAAGAGAGGGAGGGAGAAAGGGAGGGACAGAGAGAGAGAGAAGGAATATTTAAAGTAAACTTTGCAAAAAGTTTCATGGGGTTTTCTTATTTTTTTAACCCAAGTTGACAGATTTGATGAGTTGATACCATCAAGCCATGGTATACTATAGATGGTGCATCACCATCTATGGTATACTATAGTTATGAGGTTCACACTCTGCTTATCTCACTTGTTTCAAAGATACATTTTCAAATTACATTTAAAGTATGAATTTTACAGGGTATGTATAACATATCACATCATGGGTTCTATAGTTCTACTTCAGCCTTATTTCTTTACACCTTTCTGATGAGTTCTAAGCATCTTTCATTGCTGCTTTATCAATACTCTTCCTCTTAAGCATTAGTATTCTCCAGGTTTGCTCTTGACAATTTCTTTTGAGCTATAAGCTCATTCGTGGATAAAGTCATTCATTCACTACTTGCATAGTACCTATAGGCAGAGAACTTTAAGATTCAAACTGAATTATTTATGGAGTCCAGCTGCCCAGAGAAGTCCTATTTAGATATCCCAACATGTACAACATGCAAAGGCAATTCACTCTCACACTTCCACTACTGAGTACATTCCTTTTGTTTGTTTCTTATCTCAGTAATGAAAGCATCCTCTATCAAGTAGCTTAGCTAAAAATTTGGCAGGCATCTCCTCTTTCTCCTTTCCCCTGTCACTTCTGGTATCTAAGAAAATTGCCAAGTACTGTTTCCTAAAAATTCCTCATCACTTCCCTTGTCTCTATTCCAGCTTTGTTCAGAAACTTATCTTTGAATGATTACATAGGCTTTCAAGAGTTTCCTTAGATCTACTCTTTTACATCCAATTAATCCTCCATGCTGCAGTAAGAACAATGACTTGAAAACATAAGCCAATTCTATACAATGAGCATTGAAACATTTGCCTCACCTGTACCAAAGAATTAAACCCTTAGCAAAGGATAAGACTCTTCCACAAATTGATAAGCATTTCCAACTCTACTGGTATCTCTCATCATTCACTGGGTTCCTCACATCTAGCAAGACAGGAATACCACTTTCAATTCTTGGCATCTTGCTTCATATACAGTTATGGTTCTCATTGCCTTTTTTCAAGGTATTTCTTCATGTTAAAAGCCTTCCTGTCTGCTCTGCCTAGCGAATACTTGCTCTGAAACTTTTCTAGACACATCTCCAAGCTGAATTAAATAATGATAAAGTTAACTAAAATTAACATATAAATGATAAAGTTAACATGATAGTCCAGGTGGTTTGAAGCCTGGCTCAAATCCAGTCTGTCCTGTGATTCAGGCAGGTTATATGACTACTCTGTCTCTCACTTTATGTTTTTGGGATGGGGTTAATATTAAATAACTGCCTAAGAGAACTGAAAACAAATAGATACAAGTTAACAGGTTTAACATGATCCATGGTAACAGTACTCTACAAATGCTACATACTATTACTGTACTTAGCATAAGGTATTTTATTGTTTTGTCAATATTTCTCTCCATACCCACTAAACTATGAGTTGAGGATTATTTTCTCAATGAAGTTTTTATCATCAGTGACTAATATAGCATTTGGCAGTTAGTAGACAATAAATAAGTATATAGAAAAGTCACAACTTGCCAGTGTGAAAAAAACCTGCTGAGTGCTTAACAAATTATCAGAGAAGGGGTAAAAAGATTTGGAGAGCTCAAATGGAAGTGCTCACAGAAATGTAATTAGAAAATATAAAATTAGCAAAGTAGAGAAATCAAAATGCAAATCAAATAACTTGGAATTGTTATTAGTATTTATTTAAAAGATTTTTAAGAGTTCCAAAAATTCTGCTGTTTTTATATGGATCTGCTTCCACTTACCATGATTATATTAACAAAATATATATAATGTTAACATATGAGGTGCCTCCTTTCACTCAGCATGATCATATTATTCCCTGTATAGTATAATCATTACAAATATCAAGATAGGGCTTTTATTTGGGAAGATGGTTCTTATAAGATTTTAGGAAATCCCAGGGGAAAAAAGTCCCATATATTTAGGTCTGGATTTGTAAAGGTATATTTTGCATTTGTAATTTGAGATACACTAAATAACTTCTATAAGTATTCTAGTATAAATTTCTATGTAATACATCAGCTTGGTCTATCCATTCAACTTTCTTTTAGTCGTACCTCAAATCTTATCTTCTCAGTGAAGTCTAGCCCTGTTTAGTACTAAATCTGTCTCCCCACAACTGACTCCTGAAGTCTTTCCTCTTCTTTCTCCCTCTGTTTTTTTTCTTTCTTACATTCTTTCCCATTCTCTCCTTCCCTTTTTATTTCTTTACAGTGTTGATCACCATATAATAATCTTTACAATTTATGGATTACATTTATTTTGTTTTGTGGTATATTTCAATGTTTAGAACTATACCTGGCATTCATATAATTTCATACATCTATGTATAGATATATATGTATACATGTATATGATATATACCAAAATTAACCTTTCATTATCATATATTGTGCTGCTGTACCTCTCTTTAAACCAAATCATATATTTATTTACGTGTACTTATTAGTAATTCAAACTATATAAAGAAAAGACTTAATAGACAGATACATAAAGAATAGATTCAAACATATTTTTTCTCTTCCAGATAAAGTAAAGCTATTCTGATGTATTGTGTCACTAATTAAAATATGTTAAATAAATAAATTACTACATTTGCAATAAGTGTCATCACAAGACACTATTAATTTGTTTCTAGTTGACAGGCATTGCTCAGCTAGAAAATAGCATCCAGGAATAGCATCAACAATCATATCCTATAAGTCACATCACATTTTAATTATAGACACGTATATCTAAATATTAATTTATATTTTAACTCTGTCATAATTTAAGGTAACTATGCAAAATGTTTACTTTTCCCTTACATATTTACTTTGGTCTTCTCTGCCACAGAGAAAGATACAATAGATCAACCAATTATAAATACTTTTAAAAAAATTTGTTTTAGGATGGCAAAGTATAACTATGGTGGCTAAGGATGTAAGCACTTAGCACAGGCCCTAGGTTTGACCCCCAGCACCATTTAAAAAAAATAAATTATGGCTGGTGGAGTCGTTTAAGTGCTAGAATGGTGGAGCACCTGCCTAACAAGCAAGAACACTTGAGTTCAAACTCCAGTATCTCCAAAAAAAACTTAAAGAGACAAACAGAAAAGAAAGGAATTATGGTACTGTTCTCAAAAACAATCTCAACAGATGTTTTAAGTAAATTATATTCAACATTGAAAATAGCACTTTTTATTATCAAGACTTTCACATTCTTTAATTACAAATGAAAATTCAGTAAGTATAAAACATATTTGGAATTATTTTTCTGATGTATAAGTGAGCAAAAACAATAAACCTAATTTCTAATCAGTGATTTGACAGAGTTAAGAAACAACTCCTTATTGGTCTTATGAGACTTGCTTTTAGAAACAAAGCACTCCTTTTACATGTAAAAATTGCATGCGGGAAAAATGGGACAGCACCAAAAAATAAATCTATTTAACAGCATTTTTTGATTAGTAAACGTTATTTACTTAATACAGATAAGCTCATCAGACAACACTCATGGTTTATGATGAAGCAATGAACAAGAAAGAGTTCCAGAAATCAGTGAGAAAACTCTGCTTCCAAATTTAATAAACAAATTTAATGAACGCTACAAGGACATTGCTGAGAGAATACATTACCTCAAAGAAAGTATTTGTACATAGCTTTATCTTACCAGTAATCACTATTAAAAACAATGACTTAATTATGTCTTTATATGTAATGACAACTAATATTATGATTAAAGTTAGTACCATAGAATAAATTTGCTTTATTGGAAGATTGGCACTTATAAGTCAAATATTTATTGTTGCTTTCTATTAGGAGGAAAAAGAATGTCACAACGACCAGACAAAAATATCCACCCATTGAATAAATGAAATAAAGCTCAGTTTTGGCAGACTCTCGAAAAATGTTTTCTCACCTTGTTTTCACACTCTGCTGTCCCCCCTTTTATTTCTCCCTTATTTTCCCCACCTCCCCTCCCTCAGTGACTTTGAGTATCTTCATGTCCTCCATCCAATGCTTAAGATCATCTAACAGGACCATTTCAAATGGAAATTCTTATATAAATTAAAGTTTTGAGTCAATTAGTATCAATGGGACCCAAGATTATCCATTTGTCA